GAAAGAAAGCAACTGCTGGTGTTCCTAGAAAAGGTGACCTTTGTTTGGACTTAGGGTGGCAGTGGGCGTGGAAAAAAGAGGGATTCAATTTAGGAATCTGTTTAGGAACCTGGCAGGCTCAGGGGAGACCTACACCACGGCCTTAAAAACTCAGAGGCCTAGAGTAACCACATAAGATGGTCTGAAATTAAAACATCCTAACTAAAAGCAGTGCATGGTGGGTAGTCATGTCATAGGCCAGTTTTTTTCCCTAACAAAAGTCAATCTTTGCCTTAAAAAAAAAAATCTGTTTAGGAGATGCGGATTCAGCAGCACTTGGCAATTGCAGTAGGAGTGGCTCCAGGTGTCTATCTGGAGCACGTGGGTGGACAGTGATGTTATTTACTGAGACTGGGAATATTTGAGGTAGAACAGGTCTGGGAGAGAATATCGCGGTGCTTTAATCTGGACATGACCAAGAGATGCCCTGGGGGCAAGGAGACAGCTGGATGTCCATTTGTGGGTCTCAGGAGGAAGGTGTAGCTTAGAGATAGAGTACATTTAGCTTTACCAAAACACTCATCACTTCAACCTAGAGCGAAAAGGTCAACTGTTTCATTCAAGAGGCTTCATGGTCTGAGGACTTACTTAGATGACTCTGCTTTAGGCACATTTACCCCTGACTCGTTTCCCTGTTTCCGAAAGCCCTCCTACTTACTGTCAAGTGAACAAAGTTGGGGCCCCACGTGATCCTGGGAGCCAATGGCCGCCCCGCCTGCGATCCCCGGATAAGGAAATCTGCTCACCCGGACCCTACTCCAGCCAAAGGGGTTTATTTCCCCTTCTTCTGCCCCCTCCCCACCCACCCACAGACACCCAGCCAGCGCCGGGATTTGCATAGGGCTCCTGCGGGGCGGCCTGGTCTTCCCCGAGACCCCGGGAGAGAGCGAGCGGGCTGCCAACCGAGGGCCTGGTGGGGCCCTGGGCAGAGCGCAATCCCTAGACACCCTCGGAAGTTGGGGCTCCCCGTGGAGCCCCTCCTGTCCTGCCTCACCTCCGCCCGCATTCTCTGCCTCCGTGGGCCCCTTCCCTTCCTCCCGCGGGAAGGGAGCCCGTGCGCCCTGCGTCTGCGTGGGGACCGAAGTGAGAGGAGGACGGGAGTCTTTGCCCGGAGAGGGGAGCCCACTCGGGGGCGAGAGGCACTGAGCGTGGAGCTTTTCTCCGGCAGCCGCACGGGGAGGGGGAGGGAAGGAGAGAGGAGGCGTGGGGAGCCAGCGGGCGGGTGCACGGAGGGGCTTGTCAGAGATGAATGGAACCGCGGGCGGATCGATAGAAAATTCATGCACTAATTCGGGGAGACCTCGCCTTCCAAATCGCATTTAGCTGCGCTATTAGTTTGGCTTTGTCAGTCCGTCCGTCTGTGCCCCTCTCCTGCCCACTCCGCTCCTTCCCGGACACGGAAGGAACAACTTGGTTTCCCACACTGAACGTGAGCCGTGGATAAAAAACCCTGCAACTTTTGAGAGCGCATTGAATAGCAATTTGCTAATTCCAGAACCATCGGAGCAATACTAACCGCGGGGGTGAAGGCGTGGTAATTGCCACTAATGCCACAGCCTCCTCAGTGCACACAGATCGCACATCCCTGTGGTGCTGGGGTAGGTGCCCTGGAGGTGACACACACACACACACACACACACACACACACACACAATAACGCCCCTTGGTTATCAGGTATTTCCAGGGCATCTTGTCCTGAACCCAAACGGAAAGGCGACATCAACATCCGTTTGAAAAGCGAATTTCCTTTGCCTTCGCACACTGAGGACAACAGTCATTTCCCCCAGATTTTCAGTCAAACCTCCCTGAGCCCAGAAGAGAGACTAGGTGGGCTGGAGAGAGAAGGTAACATTAAAAACACCACCAGCATGAAACCTATCGAGAGAAGTGAAAAGGGACCAAGGCTCCCAGGGACAGACATGGGCAGATTTCAGGTAGATGATTTCTCTAACCAGTTTCCGGAGGAAAAGAAGGAAGAAGAAAGAAGGAAGGAGTCTTCGCATGGCCAGTCACCGCATGGTCCTCATTTAGAAAAAAAAAAAATTTCTTCAGGGGGGAGAAAAACGAGCGGAGTGTTTATGTCAACTACATATTCCCCTAGATACGAATTTGTGACCACAAAATTTCTTACACAAATTCGGATCTACAGGGTATATACAGAAGACAGAGAGATCTTCTTGGCCCAGACATTTTCCAGTTCTCCTACTTTCCGGGTGTTCTTCGTTTGGGGTGTGGTTTGAACGCTTTGAATTTATTTCGTTCTGTTCTGATTTTGAGTTCTGGGAACAGGAAAAGATACTGCGGATCCATCCTTGGGATTACAAGGTTTTCCGTTCTCTTCCTCTTCTTTTAGGGAGAACTGGAAGCGGCGAGTCTGGCAAAGAGACGCAAACCTCGCAGCGCTGCGCAACGCTCCGCGGTGGGGCATGAATTATGAGATGTAAACATTAGCTAAACACAAAAGGAGGAAGGGTCATCCTGAGGCTGCGGCAAGTCAGAATCAGGCCCTTCTGGGTGCCCTCCCGCCCCTCCCATCCCCCCAGGACTTTTTTTAAAAAAGAAAAACAAAACCCCAATGGGCTCCTCCAGTGACCCTTGCAGCCTTTAGTTTGCGATCAAACGAATATCTATATATTTTTCAAGGCGCCTCTTGGCAAAGGGAGGGGGGAAAGGCGGCTGGGTGTGAAGCGGGTGTCATAAAGTCCTTTTGGAAAATTTCAATGGTAAAATGAGGGAGAAACAGCTGTAAAGAAAAATGCTGGGAGACCAAGCAGATGGGGCCCTGGATATTTAATGACGGGCAATTCCGTTTACAACCTGAGAAAAAGATCAAAGGCGTTTCATTTCCGAATGAAGGGCAATGAAGAACCATAAAAATGCAGCCAGATGATATTCCGGTCCCTCCCAACCTCCCAGACCTCCTGGGGCCAGAAATGGAGGATAATCCCTGAAGTGTGAGGAGGACCCCCGTTTCCCCACCTCCCTAGCCCCAGGCAGGAGGTCTCTCTCTCTCTCTCTCTTTCTCTCTCTCTCTCAACTTGCTCACTCTGCCACCTGCTAGGGTTGCTGACAGTGGGACCCAAAAGGGGATCTGGGAGACCCGGGGCATCTGGGGTTTCCAGCAACCAGTACATGTACTAAACTGGGAGACAGGGGGCTGGGCTGGAGGGAACTGAATCCTGGACTGCGAAAGCTGACAGCCTTCCCATTGTAAGGCCAAGAGTGCACAGAAGCAACTTCCTCCCCACCCCGGCTCCCTACCCATCTCCCTAGGTCTGAACAATTTTTGTATCCCTAGTGAATAAGTCAGAATAACATCAATTTCGTTCACAAATACTGCAGTAACACACACACACAAAAAAAGATCCTCTAGCCCCCCACACTCCAGAAGTCTCTGCCCATCCCAGTCCTGGGACCCTTGCAGGTGGCTAAGAGGAGCGCTCCCATTTGCCTGCAACTAGGTCCAGAGACCCTCTTTTCTATCCCAAATCTAGAGTGCTCCTGTTGGCCTCCAGGCCTGATCTCTACCGCCAACGCCCTCCCAGCCAGGCTGGACTCACATATATTTGAAAACACACACACACACACACACACACACACACACACACACACACACACAATTCTACTGTAGCTATCTGAATCTCAGACCCCCATCTGGGCACCCAGGGACACTGAAGTCTAAGCAGGACCTCCACCAGGCCCCCGGCATCAAGCAAGGACCTTTCCAAGTCTTGTCAAAGGCCACTTAGGAACTGCACAACCCACTCCAACTGTTTGGGCCCTTCCCCCACCCCATACCTCCTCCTCAACTCTCTAGCTCTCTGAAACCCGTCCAACTCAGGGCTTTTCAAAATTATGGGAGGGCCGCTGAGCTGGTCACGGGCATCTCTGCCGCTCTACACTTCTCAAGGGATGTGGCCCAGGTGCCCAGAACACCCCAGGAGGGAGGGATGGGAGGCAGGAGCACCGAGGGGCTGTGTATGGCTGCTCCTCGGTATACAGCACAGAAATGTTCTCCTCTGCGCGCTGGGAGCCGCCACCTGCCCATGCCACCCATCCCACGAAGTGTCCTCCCCC